TTGCTGCACATCTCGCTTATAAACTTTATTTCACTTTTTAATAATGCATTTTTTTAAAAGTTCCCTGTTCGATGCAATTCATTACAGAAACTCGCAATTTTTGGAGAATATTGTAAGTTATATCAGCACTATTTAATTTATATTAATTATTAATTTTAATACATATATATTATGTTATTTTATTTATAATATAAAAAATACAATTGCTATATTATGTATAATAATTAGATTATTCATTTATTATAATTATTTTATTATATTAATTTATAAATATTACAAATTATGTTATTTATTTATAATTAGAATATGAAATGGGTGTTATATATATATTTAGGATTATTATAATAGTACATTAAGATTATTATTCTTTTTTACAACTACTATTAAATTATGTTATACAATTATTACATATTACATAATATTATTATTGGTAAATATATTTTGAAGCCCAGTGGTTGAGTGGTTAATGCATCGCGCTTCGACACCACAGATCCGAGGTTCAAACCCCGGACTGGGCAAGGTTGAATCAGCCTTTCATCCCTTCAGTGGGTCGATAAAATGAGTACCAAGCTTGCTTGGGAACTTAACACTGGGGTTTCGCGTCAAGCTGACCACTTGACCGGAACATCTGCTCATGCACCTCAGAGCCCAAGGTCGCATATACTGAGTTGGGCACAGTAGACCTTGGCCCTCATGGGCTGTTGCGCCATTGTTGCATTGATATTCATTATTGATAACAATTTATTTTCAATCTATCCTATATTTTTCATTTGAAATACATTTCAAAATAGTTCTTTAAAACTATTTTCCTGACGATTTGTTACCGCTAGGCCGCCATCTTGGTTTCATATGACTCTACAACAAGCGCTGCTTGGCACCGATTGAGAAATCGCGCCAAACAGCCCTTGTGGAGCGTAGTACCTCTAAATCAAATTAGTTCCCAGAATTTCTCTATAAGGAGATAAAGAATTTAGCAATTCTCTTAAATTTTCCATAAAGAATCTATTTCAACAACAAAATTAAACGAGCCTTACAGTAGTTGCATATGATGTGTAACATCTGACATGTTATCGTGGTAAATTCACAATAGCAACTTAAATCCTGAAAAAATGAATTGAGTATGATTGAAAATAATTTTATATCGAATAATTATATATTTAATGAAAATTTTATTTAATTAACACAAGGAGTAAAGCAATTTTTTATCAAAAATAATTATTCTTGTTCAATTTGGGAAAGAGCAGAGACTTATGATAACTATGGTGTAGTAGCTAGCTGAGGACCTTGTCAAATAGGTAACGTGGCATATTCCGAGTGTGACGTCAAAAAAAACCCAGAGTTATTTTTAAAAATTTAAAATAGATTTAAATAAAATAGTAGTTTGGAACCTCGCTACTGGAAATCCACCCTGTTTGTAGATAAAAAGGAAACAAATCGAACACGGCAGGTCCAAGACCTGTAGGTGCAAATGAGGTAGAGGTATGACAGAAAGAAATAATGAAACTAACTTCCCAAGAGAGGGGAGAGGTATCAGTGTCGAGAACGAACATAGATAACTCCAAACTAAGCAAAGCTGGGGGAGGGGGGATTAACCAAGTATCATCGCCCCATCTCGCTTAATTCGTGACGTCACCAAACCTTCAAACCCCGCAAGATTAACATGAAATTTTTAATGTTAACGATGGATCCTCCTTCTGGTTATTGATGACAAATTAGACAAAAAGATGTAGCTCGACAAGAAGAACCTATGGTTCGAGTTCCAAAGCAGAGACTCAAAAATCCTCACAGAGATGACGATTTTAAAAATTTTAAATGCTTCAAAAACGTAAAGAGGGGGGGGAGGAAATAGGATTAACGCAATATATTATACGGGCAGAAAGCTTATATGGATATCTATCGAATCAGGCAGGTACGGATGACAAAGATGGCCTAGGATTCGAGATATAAAGGAAATAGCCCTGTAGGGGGGGAGAGCACCCGAGGAGGTCGATTTTTCGTATATCTCGTGATGTGAGGTAATACTATCGTACCTCCAAATATCAAGACCCTAGCTCAATTCCAAACAGGGGGCAAAATTTTTACCCAACCCACATAGGAATAATATGGGAACATGATATTTTAATGCTGGAACCCCCCCTAGGTCTACCAAAAGAGGGCTAAGTGGACAAATGGATGGGACTCTTCGAGGGTAACCTGTGGTTCAAATCTCAAAACAGAGACTAAAATACATTTCAAAATATTACAGATTAGAAAGCATTTTAAAAGTTTTTAAAAGTTTAAAACGTTAAAATAAAATACAAGGAATGACCCTATGAGCAAGAAGTTTGGTGAAAATATACAATGGAAGCAGAGGGATCGAATGAGCTTGGTCCGAGCGGATTGAGAGGCTAAGGTGTCGAGCTATTGGCAAAATGTTGTCCGGGGAGAGAGGCACCTAGGTGTCGAGTCCTTGTACTTCCTAACCAAACACGAAGAACAATCGATCCCCCAAATATCAACTTCATATCATCAAAAAAAAATGGCTCCATAGGATTAACATTGGGGTTGATATTTTAGTGTATAAGCCCTCCCCTGCCCAAATCAGGTCGTCATTAGTAAAGAAACTTTAAAGAGGGAGACAGGGGGCAAGTCGATCGACGCCACCGCGCGCGCTCATTGGTCAAATCAAATAGAGCACGTTTCCCCGGGTTTCTGTTACACACTTTCGTCTCTTTTCACGAAATCACTTCCACAAATATCCAGCAACCGAGAAAAAAGATATAAGACATCAAAAATTTCTAATTTTTTAGCTAAAGTTCTATTTTCTTTTTGCACAGTTCGATTAAATTTAAATAAATATGGCATACAAAATTGTTACATCAAAACCGTGTAATATTAAATTCAAGTTTTGTGCCGTGTAATATCGAAATCCGTGTTTTAAAAGTACCGTATTATACGAGGGGACATCTGTACCTAACACTATATATCAAAGCATTCAAAAATATATAACAAAGTAGATAAATGAATGCTAGTTATATGAAAGTTTTACAATCTGCCAGTTTTATGTTCTTTAAAACAAACTGTTTAAAAAACATCATTTCGTCTTTTAGTCATGCTATATTTTATTCATAGTTATTGAATGAGATATGCACACAAGAGTTTCCATAATATCAAATAATTAAAAAAAATCTGCATACGTACTTTTTTATACATATTCTTACAGCTCTTGCTTCTTTTGTTCTTTTAGCTTTAGATTCTTGCAAAATTCACATTTTGCCACACAAGCAGTTTTTTAATGCTCATTCGAACACTTGGAGAGAAACATTTCAACACCAACTATTTTTGCACGCTTGATTTCTAACGGCCTTCCCATGACGTCCTTTATGCGTTCTACTCAGCTATATATATCAGCTGGAATCATTAACAAATACGCATTTATTATTACATATTGTTAAAGGGTGTGTAATTGTGAATTCTGAATATCTGAATCATCTTTGTAATATGAAAGTATTCCTTACAATAATTATAAGAGGAAAAGTAGAGAATGAGGTTTCCAGCTAAAGTGTCGTCTCGTCAACTAATCGTTGACCAAAATTACGATTCGCATTCGCTGTGATAAGTGTAGACCAGATAATAGGCAGGAAAATATACAATAAATAAAGATTCAAGAAAGAAATTATAAATTACTGTATAAGCCCCTAAAAGATGAAAAATATATTATATAAACATTTTAAAGAACCACAAAATAACAATACCATTAAGCAGAATGTGGATGCGGTAGTCTGGTGGTGACGAACTCATGGCAAGACCACGGCAGGTTAGTGGTCAAGGTAACGGACTCATGGCCGGTGTGTCATGAGTTCGAGTCTAGTACCGTTGAAGACCCGCCGTGCAGGAGCGCGATGCACGTTAAACCTATCAAGAGCTCTAACGTCCTCCCATTAATGTGGTAGATAAAATAAGAGGGGTGCCAGCTCAGGTGCCGTCCAGTTCAACTGGATGTCGTTCTGGTCAGTTGACCAAGGTCCAGAATTACGAGGTCAGTTGCCAATAGCCCTCAAGTGACTTTATAGTGGGATAATAATAAGCAATCACTCCCTAGTAAAGATATTCCTTCAGAAGTCCTTACCATGCTATACATTAAGAGACTCCTGCTCTTTTATTGCAGTGGTGAGTGAATATTAACGTCACACTGTTCAGCTACACGAGGGCTTGTGGCAACGGACCTCGTAATTTTGAACCACGGTCAAGTGACGTGGACGACACCTGAGCATCCACCCCTTCTCCTCACACCACACCAACAGGAGGACGTTTGAGCTCTCGACAGATATAACGTGTATCGCTCCCCTTCAAGGCGGGTCTTCATGGTACTGGGCTCGAACTCATGACACGCTAGCCACGATCCGATACCTTGACCACTTGGCTACCGCGGCCACTTTATGGCCGTGGTAGCCTTGCGGTTTTGGTTACAAACTCATGGCCAGAATGTCATGGGTTCGAATCCGGAAGTCACTGAAGACCCGCTAAGTAGAGGGAGACGATGCACGTTAAATCTATCGTGGCTCAATGTCCTCCGTCTGCGTGAGGTTATAATTAGGACAGGGTAGTGTCTGCTCAGGTGTCATCCTCGTCACTTGACCATGGTTCAAAATTACGAGGTCTGTTGCCAAAAGCCCTCGAGTAGCTGAATAGAGCGACGTTAATATTCACTCACTCACCCACGTTCAGAACCAGGATTTTGCAAAAGCAAATAAATGAATAATTTTCTATTCCTACTATTAGATCACACACTCTCCCTATATATATTTATATATCTTACTCAAATTTTCAATCGTTAATAAAATTCTTTCTATGTATCCATTCGAGTTCAAAAACATTTTTTAAACTTGCAGTGGATGACACATGATATTAATACAGTTTTTTCAAATATTAATTCATTAATTAAATTAAAAAATGAATAAATAGTAACAAACTAAAATAATAGTCCAACAGCATATATAAAAAGTAAAACAGTTCGTTGTGTCCCTGTAGCGCAATAGTAGCGCGTTGGACATCTAATCCAAAGATCGTGGGTTCGAATCCCGCCTGCGATGGAGTAATTTCTGAGAATGTGATTTCTTTTTACTATACTATTTTATTAAAATAATTAAATTTAATTAATGAGTAAATAGTAACAAACAGAAGAGAATAGTCTAGAACTATATATAAAAATGAAAATAGAAAATTGCAATGAAAATCGTTTTCTATTTTGTCCCTTAATATTATGATTCCGTCATATGTATATATTTATATTGATTGTAACTATTTCATAAAAAGGAACTAAAATAAAATGTTTCTTTGTTGACCTAAGAAGGAATTGACTTAAAAAAAACTTTTTTATATTACTTGTTACATATTAAATGTGATTTGAATTAGAATATACATATAAAATGGTTGTACAAGTATTACGGCAAGAAAAAATCATATAAATGCAATTTTTGGGCAAAAAATGAAGAGAGAGAACCTTTTTAAAACTTCTTTCCGCTTTCGAAGAATGCTTCCATGAGAATAATATTCTGCCTATACATAGCGAGGACTTTTATACCAGGGCAGGACTAAATTTTTTTGAAAAATTCACATGATTTTCAGAGTTACGATCAATTGAAGTAAAACCGGTATTTTTATGCTAAAATTTCTGTACTTTGCTATAATAAAATATGAATGAATGCAATTCTAAATTATGTATTTCAAAAATCCTTGTTCAGTTTCTGTATGGATGCCCTAGCTAGATTTTGGCAAAATATTATTTTAGAAGCATTTTTCCTAAAAGGAGAATTAAAAATATGCCATTCCTTCCTCGTTTTTTGCCAAAACATCGCATTTAAATATTCGATATGCACATTCTAATTCAAGTGACACTAAGTATCAAACTAATTCTCCATTTATACGCTTTTTCAAAATCAGTTTCGAACACAGTCAATCCCCCTTAAGAGCATTAAGAAATATTTTCAGACTCAATTGACTGACTGTCAAGGGAAAGTTCCATCACTATTGTTACCTCTTTCTCTCCCCCCCCCTTTTCAACAGACGATAACGCTTGGTCAAAGATTCGGAACTGGGTTTGTTCACGGTACAAAGGTGTGGCCAGCAAAACAATGCGTAGGAAATGTATTGTGTTTGGTTTGAAGTCTGGTGACTTCGTCTGGACTTACACACACACACAATAACTCATCCCCAATTTCCATTTTCTCTTTCAATTGATAGTTTTTTTTCACTGCGCAATTCAAAAGAAAGAATTGTATAAGACGTATGACATAGATTTTCAGTGTGAAATCACTTCAGAAAGATTTAATATTAGTTATTAAAAAAATATCTAAAGTTTTTGGTTAAAATATTGCATTGTGTGGTTAGAAACGTGTATTATTCGTCAGATGCGCGGTGTTGTGTGAAATAATAATAAAATTTTAAGATGAATAGACAGAAGCCAATAATAAATGTATTTGGAATAGAAAGGAAAAACTGAAGTTATATGTTTCTGACAAATAAAACAAGTAACAATGTATTTTTTTGTTTATTGTTTGTACAGCTTGAAATATTCCAAAAAGGAAAATGAGCAACTGTGTTGGTAAAGTAAAATTTATGTAATTCATAAAAATATAAATAGCTAGTATTATATAGTTAATTACAATGTACTTAATATTCTTTAATTAATGAAAAACGATAACATATATATTTAGATAATATAACAGTAGCACACACAAGAATTTTTCAGGGGGGGGGGGGGGTCGAAAGTACACTAATCTCGTATCATGCTCCAAAATATTCTTTTGATTTCGTTGATTTTCGGTAACAGAAAACAGTAAAAAATTAATAATTGAATGAATAATTAGCATTAATTAATAAAATTAATTATTAATAACATATACTTAGTTAAATTTTACAAACAAAATACATAGGATTATAGTTAATCGAAAAAAAAATCAAAGGCTTTCGGGGGGGGGGTCCGAACACCCAGGACTCCCCCCTTGTGTGCGCCACTGGATAACAACAATAACGATAACATTAGTATAATTTAATTCATAATATAATTAAAAATTTATATTATAATTTTATAATATATTTTTAATTTTCGATTTATATCATAATTATATACATTTTATATTATAATTATGGGCCTTGGGTAGCCTAGTGGTTAGAGCATCCTACGCCAGACCGGAAGGTCTGGGTTCGATGCCCGATGCCATCAAATATCCGCCGAGTGCACACGGAGTACGTGCTCGCTAAATCAGTGGGTCTGAATGGTGTCGCCATCTATAGTGAGAAAAATCGTACTGTCACCTTCATGGGTTCAATGCTTCGGCTAACGACAGACGTATCTCTAGCCCGTTGCCATGAGGAATTTCGTGGGCCTCGATCTGACTACGTCAGACAGGTGGCATAAGTAACAGCAATATTATAATTCTATTATAATTTATAATATAATTAACAATAACAATATTTTTTCTAGTATAGGTGAAATTAATTTAGCTATGTGTGTGAGTATTTGTTAACGTCCATCTATAAAGCAATATGGCCGCGGTAGCCAAGTAGTCAAGGTATGGGATCAAGGCTGGCGTGTCATGAGTTCGAGCCCAGTACCATTGAAGACCCGCAGTGTAGGGAAAAGATGCACGTTAAATCTGTCGAGATCTCAAACGTCCTCCCATTGGTGTGGTGTGGTAGCTAGGAGAGGGCAGTGTCAGCTCAGGTGTCGTCCGGTCCGTCGCCAAAAGCCCTCGTGTAGCTGGACAGTGCGACGTTAATATTCACTCACTCTATCAACCAACACGAAGGCTATTGGTTATGTATCACGTAATTACGAGTCTCTGTCAACTAACGAGGACGATACCTGAGCTGGCACCCCGCTCACCTAACTTCAACACCATGCCAATGGACGAACTTTGAGCCCCGACAGATTTGATGGCATTAGCCCCTCCATGTGGAAGGTTTTCAGTGGCAATAGAGCTCGAATTCTTGACATGCCAGACACGAAATCGTGACCATAGCCACTAGGCTACCACAGCCTTTAATTAAGCTATAGACAGGGTGTTGCCGAATTTGACCGACAAATTCAGAGGGATAGCGCCCATCCGGTATAGTGGTTAGTGACGCTGACTGCGGTGCCGTAGGGACTGGGTTCGAATCCCGGATAAGGCGTGTCGTAATCCTTCCTTCTTTCCTTTGTGTTGTAAGCCCCAGTGTGATACATTGTGTGGTGCACGGGGTTTATAAGTGTTCTCAATAATAAAAACATAAAAAATCATAGGGAGGGTAAGTAGGTAGTATGGGGACGACAAATCAACATAGAGCAGTGGTCCCCAACCTCCAGGTTGTAGGTCGGGACCGGTCCATGAATCAAATTATACCTGGTCTCCCAATGAACATTAAATTATTTCCATTTTTTATTTATTGCGGCGTATTTCTCTCGGTTTTGTGACACTTCGTATCCCATGTTAATCAACGTTTCCCCCTCAGCGGGCAGCGGTAAAATTATCAAATATTGACCGGTCCGCGGCGATAAAAAGATTGGAGAGCACTGTCATAGAACATGGGGTCTCAAACCAGAATTAGAACGGAGTAATTCGCAAAAACATTTGTGAAGTGTGTGATGTCACGAGTGGAATGAAAAGGGGCAATAAAAAGTAAAAAACACATTTATTGGTCATAAAGTATATTTACCATACGAACAATGCATCCCAGCTCGACGTCAGAAATGCAACGACAAGTAATTGTCACAGGAATTGTTTAAACTTGTTGCCACGTAGGTGATAGCCCAACTTACACTGACAGATGAATGATTGTTGGACGCATTTAAACATATCCGGTGTGTTGGCGATGTCAGAGGAAGCGATAACTATCTGTACCGTGAGATCCACTACCGTAGAAAGTGGCGTCTCATGAACATGCGATTTCAGGTGACCCCAGAAGAAGAAGGGAATGAGATCCGGGAAGCGTGGAGACCAAGCAATTCCGATCCACCTCCTGGGATATGCAGCATGGAGGTGGTTTCGCATCACAATAAAAAAATCACCATCATGCACGAACCATATGTTCATGTCCACAATCGTCTGCAGTGGCCAGTATTCCCTGCAGCAACTCCGAGATAAGTGGGAAAATTGTAAACGTGCAGGTTTTTTCAACTCTATGACGGTTCTCGAAATCCCCGCATTCGTTTGACACTCACCTCGTCTGGCTCATCGTCCTCCCGGCGAGCTGCTATTATCGCGCTTCTCGCCAACTAAATGTGGTTTGCAACCCCATGTTGTATGGTGATTAGTTGTCTCCATGCTGCCTACTATCACCTATCTGAATTTGTCGATCGAATTCGGCAACACCTTGTACATGCAGTTAAATAGTCTTCTATCAATAAGTTGTATTAAAATGATTACGAAAAATATTTAAATAAAATATTGGAAAGATACCACCACTAAAGCGACTATAAAAAAAGTATTTTAGACACATATTCTTCGAGTAGTAATCTGTTGAAACAGACAATCTTATCAATTTCAATTAAGAGCCATTTGTCTTAATTGCCTGTTAATATATTCATTTTAATTCGTTTAAAATAAAATTATTTTGTATTTTTCCGCATTTAATACAAATTTTTTCTACATATTGTTTTATTCAAGCATTTTACTTTTCAACTATCGCTGCGGTTCATGTAGAATTAGCGAATAGAGAACCAGAACGTGATTTAGAGTTTTACTATACATTAATTATGTATCATTTAAAGATATTTATTAACAATATAAAAAATAACTTATCGTTTAACACAAATAAAAAGTTCAAATTGGGCATTTATTATGTGTGATATATCTTTAACCCCATATTCATTAAAGTAAAAATTAACAACATAAAATATAAGTATTCCTGCAAAATAGTTAAACAAAAATTTTAACTTTTAATAGGAACCTTGTACCTACACCGTTGTACTTCATATCGCAATATCCGGGCTATAATTTGTGATTTTCAACTTGACACTATTCTGAAAGTTCAATTGTTTAACAACTTCTTTACTGGCTCAAAGCGTTTTTCATATGAGAAAATAATTCTTCACATAGATATGTAGAACAAA